CAAAAAATATTATAGGCTTGCCCCTATGGCCCTATATTAGGTAATTTGAATAGTTCTCGAATTTATCATCACAAAATGTGTATTCCTATAGAAAGTAAAAGAGCAATAGAGGTTACCTTAATATTCATTTGCTTAGTATTTTTTGTACGTTTAAAGCACCAAGTATACTACAAAGTGATAATATCCTAGAGTCTATGAACTGTGAATTAGATGAATTTAAATAACTGTGACCAGTGTTAATACGAAGCATGTGGTATTAGGTTCACATTAAAGCACTTATCAAAGGAATCTTAACATGACAGAAAGCCTCGAAGGTACACTTGGGGCCCAACCCTGAACAAAACAAGAAAATTCTGAACTAAAAACAAAATTTTTATTATGATATGTGGTGTACCTACAACTTGTATAGATTATACATATTATAATGCAAGAGTGATGGTAATTAGTGCACTAGTGGTGTTAATAATAACAAATTCAAATAAAATTCAAATTTATAATAATTATAATATAAATAGAAAATTGGGTTAAAATTAGTGGGAAAAACGGGAAGTCTTGCAACATAGGCGCAATTTCAACTTTTGACTTGGGGGGGGGGGGGGCTGAATATATTAAAGGCAAGCAGACCATTTCAATATAAAATATTGCAATTGTATGTCCTAGGTTTTTTGGGGGGCTATGGCTAAGTTTTGGGGGGATCAGCACCCCCTCCCCCCCAATTTGCGCCTATGGACTTCCAACAAACTGTTTGAAATTTGGTGTATGATTCGTGCACACTATATTCGTGCATTTAATATTTTATATGCAGGCTCTCAAATTTTGATTTACGAAGTTCACTACTTACTGGATATTTTTCAGCAAATGAATGATTTATGTGAAGTCTCATAATGAAGTTTAATATTGAAAAACTGGTGGAAAATCAAACAAGCTGGAAATGCCCCAGAGCCTACCTATAATAATTGTATTATCGGTTTTTACTTTTTATATGCAGCCCGGATAAAATTTGTCCATGGACTGCATTTTGGTTACCGTTGATGTAGATGATATTTTATATTTATATATTTGTATGTAGTTATATCTATTATAATATACACATATGATAAGAAAAAGCCACGCCGTTCCACAATCGCCGTGATTTAGATTAAACACCCGAGAACAATAATCAATAAGGTAAAGGTACCTACAGTATGACATAATATTACCTATATTATACATGCAAGGCAATATTATCGTTGTTCAAGTACCTAGTCCAAGTGGTACAACAGGTGTGGCATCTGAGACAGACAATGATCTATAGGTAGTATTTATAATTTATATAATATGATAGATACTTCGATATTTGACACCTGCAAGGTAAACACTATACGCGTAGAGATCCTTGGAATTTACGTGCCCGATTTTGAATAGTAAATAATATCACGTGACTTTAAAATATCCACCCCCCCCCCCCATCTCTACTGACCACTGTACAATGAGTTATTATGAATTATGATTGGTAGTAGTTGGAATAGCCAACCAGGCGATGCGATTTATGATTCCCGGGATAGCTCTATACGTAATATGTATTATGTTTATAGTCTTATACTCGCGTATAGATTACGATAAACGGCGGCTGTGCGAGTATACCAGGTGGCAGGTGAAGACTATAAATCGTCACACATAGTCAGAACTATTACAGTGCACTCTACTTAATACTCGTACAAATACTCAGGTGTAAATCGGATTGGATTTATGGCGCGAAATTACAACAGCTATAATATAAAGTATATTATAAACATAACAATAATATACATAAATATAAATACATAGGTAACGACTTAATGAAATACGGAGGTGGCTGCAGATAATAATAATAATATGTGCGTACAAAATATACATCGTTATATCATCCCCGTTATCAGATCGGGTTGAACGGTGCGTTTGATAAAAATTTAAAACCAAAAATACGTGTAACTGCAGACGCAAACAGTGTCCGTGGGACATTCGGCATGCAAGGTAGGGCGCGCGTGTCGCACACGCGTTATTATCTACAAGGCATAGGCGCAAAGCGATACACTATACAATATAATACAAGGTAAAAAGGCAGTGTGAATATTATACGATATGAACTGCGATAAGACTTATAATATCAGGTAGGCAATTTGAGGGGGGCTTGGGTGTGCTTAGCACCCAGAATTTTGAATTTAGCACCCCCAAATTTGTTCATGTTAATTTACATTTTAAGCTGATTTCTATAACCATAAAATAACAGAAGAGCTTTAGCACCCCCAGATTTTTCATTGAAATCGCGCCCCTGCAGGTAGGTACCTTATTAGTACCTATACGAGGTGTAAATCGTGTGCGAATCGCAGATTTCAAACGTCGGAGGTACCTCATAGATTCCGAGACCTGCGGCTGGAACGAGCTGCGGACCGATCGTTGAAGGCTGCAGGAGAAAACTAAAAGAAATTAATAACGAATATCGGCCGGTCATGTGCACGCGGCGTTTCGAAAACCGTTGTCGTCCGGCCACGGACGTGCTGCGGGTGCGACAAATAACCGCCTAGAGTGCCGGGTAAAGTCACTTCGTTTAAAAATATATTGCAAGCGTGACAATACCAATGCGTTACCTATGTATCGAAATCAAACGTAGGTACCTAAATATAGCTACACCTACGTAACATTACACTACAATTTACTAATATTATCCACACAAATGTAATATAAATATAAATGTAAAAACACACACACATACACACACACACACACCACATATACATAACATATATATATATGTTATATATATATTATGCACACGTGTATAATAATAATGCACACACATACTAATGGCGAGGAGTACCTGTGCAGTTGTATATTGTGTACTTTGGTAAAAGGGCACATCGGTCATACGCACGTGAACACACACTGACTTATATTGTTATTACTATTATTATTATTATTATTATTATTATTTTTATTATTATTGTTGTTGTTGTTGTATTATACTGGTGGCGTGCGCTCGAAAAGTCGTCGTGCTCATGCGGCGGCCGCTGGTCCGGGACTGTGGAAGCTGTGCGAGCAGTCCCGCCGGCAGGTCAGGGGGCTCATTGATTTTCGGCACCCGTTGTCGTCTCCCCAGCCCGCACTGCCGCGGCCACGCGCGCCCGTCACCACGCGCGGGTCACATTGCACCGAAGCAGAACGCTTCACGCCCAACCAATCGCCGAGTGCATCGATTCCGAAAAATACGCCCCGGTGGCGGCGTCCGTCCCCGGGTTGGGGTGATGTGGGAGGGATGCTGTGCGTGTGTGCGTGTGTGTGTGTGTGTGTGTGTGTGTGTGTGTGTGTGCGTGTGCGTGTGTGTATGAGTGTTCAGGGTGCGTGTGTGTATGAGTATTCGGGGGGTGTGTGGACCACCCTCGCTCCCTGATCGCGGTGGCAGCGAGAAGAGAGCGTTGTTGTAGTAATATAAAATAATTATCGTTCCGGAAGGGGACTGAAGCAGGCAGATATCACCAAGTCGACCGGGAAATGAAAACAATATGGCACGTTGGCTGCTGAAAACAATATTGTTTCGTCGGCCGTTTATTTATAGCCGACTAATGTTCGCGGTCGACGAAGACCGCATAATATTATTTTTAATACCTTACATCATTATAAAGTATCTAGGCATATTATATATCATATATTATTATATATATTATATGTATAACGCAATTTTATTACTGTCGTTATTAACGGTTACCTACTTATTGGTATAGTTGACAAGAAAATAATAAATCATCTAGTCCTTAAAACGTGTTATTGAAATACGACGAGGCGCCAATCGTAAATTATTATGACGTTCGGTATAGATCGGATAGTGAAATTATTACCACATTACGCGTTTACGCGTAAATTCACCATGTTAAGGACACGTTTTCACCGTATATATATGACCGTCTTCGATCAACTATTTAGGTTGCCAATATGACACTTTTGGAAAGTTATTAAATAAAAAATACATCAACTAGGTATATAATATTATAGTAGTAGTATATAGTTACAAAATATTTATAATACCTGATATCATTTTCAAACACGCATACAATGCAAGCTACACACCGGAGTAGTGAAATTGCCTATATTAAACGCCGTCTTTCGTTTCGCTATTGAATATTATCTACAGACTGTCAACGGGCACAAAATAGATACGGGTGTTGGGATGTGTGAACAGTTTGAAACCAATCAATGTCCTCGAATTTTTGACAATGCGTGTTCTGTGTTCTGATTTACATTTACTATGAAAATTTAATTTAATAAACCCATGTACAGTACTACAGTGTAGGTGGAATACATGCGTCAGATAAGGTTATTTAATATTACCAATCAAAGTAATCAAACACATTTCAATACATCGAGAATAATTCTAAAAAATATTTACAGCAATGTATATCGTTTAAAACTACTAGAGTAAGGAATAAATAATGTTACCAAGTAGAGAAGAATATTTTATAGTTTATTTCATATAAAGGTATGTTATAATATAGTATATTATAATATATTTATTTTTGAATCAAGTAACAACAACCATTTGAAAATTAATCAGATCATTAAGAGTATTTGTTGGTTTATAATTTATAAGAAATAGAATATAGATAGGTATGGTTTTTCATCAATACTTTAATATTCAATACAAATAGGATATACATACTACATCCGTACATAATAGTTCATCAGGTTTGGGTAGGTAAATTACACACTTATATAAATATTTTACTACTATTTTAAAAACATATAGGTACCTAAATATAAGTATATTTGATTATAGTTTTAAGTTTTTATTATATTTTTCGACCAAATGTATTGTTTAAAACAATAGAAGTACCTATACTACTTTGGATAATTCATACCTATATTTCTATTATTCAACGGTGATAAACGTTGATATTATTAAATCGTTTCATGTATCTAAGAAATTATTCTAAACTAAATTCTAATATTATTTGTGTATACGTTTTGATTATTATTACTTTAATTATTATTTAAGAATTGAGAGGTTTATCCTCATATCCTAAAACCATAACTTGTTGAATTTTATTCTTAATCCATTTCAATGTTGTTTTATCGTTGTATTCGATACATTTTTCATCACCACGGAAAAAATAACTCGAGTGATGTTCATCCTATGCGAAAAAAAATGAGTGTTTTAAACTTTAAAATCATCATTTTTAATAACATATCATATACGCTTCTCCACTCACTTGCCGAACTTTGAAACTTAATTTATTTTCTTCAACTGTTGGTACATCGATTATGTTATCAACATAAATACTCCATTCGATTTCCCATGGTCCTTTAGTGCGGTATTTTTCAGCTAAAATTACTCGTCTAAAATAATGTTTAAATTAGTAACAAAAATGTAAACATTCAATTGAACATAGGTACCTCAATGTAATAAGTAAGACTTTTTTCCCCTCTGGTAGTAAGCTCACGTGCGCCCAATAACCATCATTTGATAGAGAACGACTCAACATTTTAAACAAATGTAGACCAACAGCTTCATACGTAGAATAGCTTTTCATTCCCTAAAAACATTTATTTTTTATTTTTTTAAATACCCATTTAAATAGTATTATATACAACAAACCATTGGATTGACATATCTTGGAATTCGTGTTCGCATCACTACCTCTTCGCCTGACTCAATAATTCTAAAATCACACAATATATTTTGTGAATAAATTCTCAAATAATGTAGTTTATAATACCTTTTAACTCCATCATAAGCCATTGACACCTTATCGGAAACGTTAGATTTTGACAGGACTGCCAGTAAGTTCCGACCGGGACCTCTAAAGAACGACTCTGCAGCACTCTCGTCCTCTCCACCTTTTGATATTTCATGTTAAATGAATTATCATGATGTAATCAATGTAAATAGGACGAATAATACTCACCAATATGAGGTCTTTGTATTGCACCAGACATAGATAACAAAACTGACATTTCTGTACCTTTGTGAACAGAAATCATTCGTTCCGGAAATATTTCCTCAAAATTCCATTTTTCTACACTTTCAATGGCTCTAAATGAACCTTGTACTTCTTCGATAAAAGGCCCTAAGTATTCCTGTAATAGTAAAAATATAATATTACAATAGTTATTGGCGTGAAGTGTTGAAGAATGAATAATTGTCTGCTTACTTCAAAGTTTAGTTTTTCGTCAATCTCATCCATTTCGTAAATGTTTTCCAATACATCCAAATTAAAAATAGAAACATGGCATTGTTTTAATAACTGCCGTGCGTAATTTTTTAAACCGTAACTAACCATTGACTTAAATGATTCTTTATAAAGTCCTTTTCGTGTTAAGCTATTCACACTAAAATATTTAAATGGATTATTAATATAATTTACAATGAACAATTACCAAATCATACTTGAGATTTACGGCTTTTACGTCACTTAAACGGTTCGAATGGCCATCGAGTATATACAAAAGAGCATCTGTTGCAAAACTATTGGAGCTCTTCAAGGGGCTGAGTTCTGGTACTTTAGCCGAAAAACTTAATTGTACATTAAATGGAGAACAATGGAAATACTCAACAAATACCTTACCAGGGTTTCTCCCCTAAAATATATTCGTTAATTATATTATAAAAAAAAAAAAAGGCGGGTAATTTCTAATTATGTAATATTCTGACTACCTGTATCAATTAAGAATTTACTGGACGATAGTATGGTATTTTATGTATTATATAGAATAACCATGGTTTTGCATAATTTTAAAAATGAATATAAATTTAATAAAGTCTGATAGGTACAATGTATTGACACGGCCACACAAGGGTATTATTACTTCGAATTTATGTGGCGAACTCGCAAACTGGCAACAAAATCCCATTAATACGAGAAAACGAATATAATTCAACAGTACATAAATATTTAATCAATTTACATAAAAAATGTATAATAGACCATGCTAATTATAAACTGGGTAAGAACTGTATTATATACCTAACCATAAGTCATAAGAATAATATTAATTGAATGCCTATATTATTTCATTACGTAATATTTTACGTCATAATATTTGACAGTATTTTTCCCTTGAAACAAAATTGATTTTATTTCATGTTTTATGGAAAGAATTTTTTAAAGTAAAAATTTGCAAAACCATAGGTATTCTGGTTGATTCTCAATCGACACAGGTAAACGAATGATAAGTAAGTACCTAAAATAATCTTTATAAATGAAATGCCGTTATCCTTACCGGTGGTATATTAGGTGCATGAAGTGAACTTACGTCTTGTCTAAATCTCGCATCTAATGGGCATTCAAAAACTGCAAGAAGTGGTGATAAAGTTTTATGCATACTAACCACAAATGTTCTATCGAGTTGTACGGTAAAGTCTTGAAGACTTATATCAAAATATCTAAAATTATTTTAGAAATATAATTAATATCTTACTTTCGTAATTTATTAGAAATGGTAAAAATTTAACACACTTGTAAACGTCGTAATGATTAGAAATTGGTGTTTTAGAATACGATATTTCCAAAAATGGTTTACAATATCGAGGAAATGTCTTACACACGGATGTTTGATACAATGCAGTTTTAAATGTACTGTCCGATAACTGATTGTCCAACTATAGTATTATAATAACATACACATCAAATTTTTAATTATATTATTTTATATATTAAGGGGTCTCACTACCAAGTCTTTTTTTTGTTAAAAACTACTGTTTCTAATTCCAACGATACGTGTCGACAATTATCACGATTTTCATTCTGAAAAGATATTCTGATTGTCCGTAATATACAGGGTGATTTTTTTATCGAAGAACACTCATTATTTCAAAAAGTATTAATGTTTAAGAAAATATTTTTTTACATACTTTCAAGTTGTTAAAAAACAATATTTTTTATTAAAAAATTATATTTTTAAATATTTTTTATCCTTTTAATTTTTTAAGTTTTTTACTTTTTTGAATGACAACATCTAATTTTAATTTGATATTCAAAAACAGAATATTTTTCTGAGTATTTCGATACATAAAAATTGAATTTAGGGCAATTAGTTTATGAGTTATAAGTATTTAAAGTTTAGATGAGCGGAGTAGAGTGGTACGGGGTTACCCCGCGAAATGTTTGTCCTCTACTCCGCTCATCTAAACTTTAAATACTTATAACTCATAAACTACTTGCCCTAAATTCAATTTTTATGTATTAAAATAATCAGAAAAATATTCTGTTTTTGAATATCAAATTAAAATTAGATGTTGTCATTCAAAAAAGTAAAAAACTTAAAAAATTAAAAGGATAAAAAATATTTAAAAATATAATTTTTTAATAAAAATATTGTTTTTTAACAACTTGAAACTATGTAAAAAAAATATTTTCTTAAACATTAATACTTTTTGAAATAATGAGTGTTCTTCGATAAAAAAATCACCCTGTATACAAGGGAACGATCGAGCCACATTTTTAATTTTTGTAATTTAAATTGCAATAAAAATTGTAAAAAAATCAAAAAAAATACAGAATTTCCAACTTAAATATTTAATTAACTAAATACAATTTTAAAAATGTGCCTCGATCGATCCCTCGTACACGTTGTGGAAAATAAGAATATTTTGTCAGAATGAAAATCGAGGTAATCGTTGCGACGTAGGTACTGTTGGAATTAGAATCGTATGTTTAAGTGAAAAATAAGCATTTTTTCATGATCACAATATTATTATATATTGACATGTGTGTGCGAGTGCGTGCGAGAGCTACATTGACCCGCATGGACGCCACACACTAATAATCATTTACGACTAACACATAGATCTCGGGTGGCGACGACGAGATTAGAAATTGCCTAAATGATTCTCCTTAAATCAATGCCATTGCGAGGCCTCTTAAGGATGTTGAAAGCAAACCATTTTTAAGGGGTTGGATTTAGGCAGTATTATATATCTATTGTGAGTTATGTGGGAATGTGTGTATGAGTTGCCCTAGGTAACGCTTTATTTAAATTATGATATACTACGCCTAAGATTCATAGAAATTAGTAATGTACATACGCGCAGTCACACGTCACTAAATTTTGAGATCAAAAAAGTTTCAATATTACCGTACCAAAAAGCGGTAGAAAAATTCACCAAGTACCAAAAGTCTGATTTTAATTTTGAAACATATTTGAATGCCTTATTATATTTTCTAGGTAATGTAGGAAATATATTTTCGATTGTTTGTATTGTTACACACTTTTCTTAAGTTCGCTTTCACGTCTGTTTGTCTGTTTGTCTGTAATCAAATTTTGGGCGCTCGATTTGAGGCACTTTTTGATGATGAAAAATTCTGAAAATTGGTATAGACCTTGGTCTTGGATGACAATACAATAATCCGTTGTCATTTTGAGACCCGGACCTCCAGGTCGGCGATGACGGGTGTGCAAAGTCATCTCCGAGGAAAAAATAAAAACACACTTTTCAAAAAAAACAATACAAAAAAATAATGAAAAATTTACTGATGAAAAATTTAAAAGTGTGTGGTGCTCTTACACTTGAATTATACTCCCAGTCACTATCTTATAAACAGGATTGAACATATAGAAGTGTATGTGAGACTTAGCTCGGCTTTTAATGTTTTGTATGATGCTTCACACACTTTTAAATTTTTCATTATTTTTTTGTATTGTTTTTTTAGAAAAGTGTGTTTTTAAAAATTTTTTTTTAATTAGTATAGACATATAGCTCAAAATTAATTTTCTTTTTTTTCCAAAACTCCCCTTTACCATAGTGTAACTAAAAAAAAATCGAAAATCTATTGCCTACATAACCTAGAAAAGAGAATAAGGAATTCAAATATGTTTTCAAAATTAAAATCGCGCTATTGGTTCTAGGTGAATTTTTCTTCTGCTTACTGGTCTAAATGCACGAAAAAACGACGAAAAAACGATCTGCTCTCAACAGCCCATTAAGTATTTCAAATGCAATATTTTTTTTTTTATCTTTTTTTTCAATATTAATTATTAATAGTTATGTAATCATTATAAACCTATTACACAGTATATTTTACTATTATATAAGTATTATGGAAACTTTTAATTTGAATATAGATAAATTCTAACTGTACTTGTATTCTATGAATTTTGAAGCACACGGTAGTACTTTTTGAAGTAAATTTACATCGAATCCGTGCAGCAGGATTATACGAACGACGAAGATGTCCAAAAAATGGTCTTATCATTTGCATTTTGTCGAAATCCACCTTTGTAAAACATTTATTTAAAATATGTGTTGGAGTTTGAAAGACGTTAAATATTTTCTTACATGGACATAATCTTTTAAATGTGCTTTTTTATCATCGTTTTTCCACATATCTTCCAACCAACATGCAAGTTCAACTGTAAAAGGTTTCCAGACATTTCTTACTCTCACCATCCATTCAGAAGTAGAATCTGTTAAACTTAAATAGGCAATTTCCTCCGTGTGAACACCACGAGAAGTACTCTAAAATAAAAAACTGAAATTAAAAAACCACTAATTAAAAATTTTAAGCCTATCATACCAGAGATAATCCCAGTCCGTCCATGGCTACAATTAAGTCAATACTAGATTGATTATTTTCAATATTTTTACGTGCCACTGCTGCTGCTTTTTCGTCTTGGGTAAAAAGCAATACTCTTTGACCTGCGGCATCCATATAACTTACCCAGTAAACCACAACCTTAGATTTTTTGGTTCTAGGTACCTAAATCAAATTATTAAAACATATAAAACAAAAATATTCACAATATTTATTTAAAATGTTTTACTCTAATAGGTGGTCCCGCATCAGAATCTGAATCACTCGTATCAGTTGAATCGGGCGATTCAAGATGTTGATTTGTAATTAATTTAATAAAATTTAAGTTGATATTTGCAATTTCGGCTGGTTTGATTTGACAGAAACTTATCCTTTTCTGTCCAAATCCATCTTTTTCAAACTCTGCTACATAACTTTTGTTTTTTTTGCTATATGCATTCCAGTAAAGCACACGTTCTTCAGTAGGATCATCCCAAGTATATAATAGAGATTGATGAGGACTTAGTAATGTTACCTAAACATTAATTAGAAATTTGTTGATTATTTATATATTATTATAACTCAAATAAAAGGATATACACATACTTGTCCTAAATTTTTTTGATGAATTTTTAGAAAAATTTCATCACACATATTATCAACTCTTACTGGTGCATCATTTTGACAGAACTTGTGAAAACTTATTAAAAACGGATTTTCGCCTCCACCTGTTATTTTAACTACAAGAGCTCGCTAAAGAAAAAACGAATTATTATCTCAATTTGTATAACTTTCTTATTATTAATTTTACTCCTTTATCCATTCTAAGAACCGTCTGCTCTTCTTTTATAATTGAAAAATGTTGTGATCCGGATTTTCCATCTCGAAGTTTAACAAACATTCTCATTGAATCAGTCTCAGGCCAAAATGGTAATGTCTTCAATAATATTAACATAATATCATTATTAAGATTATTTATGGGTTTAATTTGGTAATACCTGTCCTTGTAAAATGTCTGTCCATAAATCTGCATCTTGATTATCCTCCATGAATCGTAAACTTCTGTTGAAATTATTTACCACAGAGAAATTTGGTAAAAATGTGACGATTGTTGTTAAATGAGGGCATAAGTGAGATAAAACTGGCTTCATTAAAATTCTGTACTTTTTCTGGCGTTCTTTATCTTTACAAATTACAAGTCCAGGACAGTAAACTGTATCCATTGAAAATGCTGAAGACCAATTTGAATGGTACGCCCTAAGTTTAATACATCTCTTTTTTAAGCGTTTATATGAAAACAATAATGGTTCTTCAGTGTGTGATTCATACACAATATCTGATCGTGATCCCTAAAATATAAAATAGTATTGATCCACATGACATTTTTAAGCTTTGGTATAGATAAATTTAAATATTACCCTTAATTGTAATGGTAATCCTGTCTTATTTACAATCCAATATGGTGAATGTATGAAAATACGACAAGAATCTTCATTTGTAATTTTTATTGCAATTTTCAAATGTTTGTTACCACCGTCAGTATCATGTTCAGTACTCATGTTTACAGTTTTTTCGTTTATATCTTTTCGCAAGTTAAAGCTTCCAGACCACGATATACCAAGATATGATGGCACAATTAAATCAGTTTTCAAAACCCTATGTGTAATATTTAACATGTAAACATCAATTTTTTCGGAAGCTTCAATATGGTGCCTGAAATTTGGAAAACTGAATTCTATAGCGAACGGGAGAAAATTATGTATGACTACTGGAGGAACTGCTCTTAGAGTATAATTTGGCACTGTTCTTGAAGCACGGTTAAAAACTGGTTCTCCTTCTTCACAAACAACCTAAATAAAATATGTAACTAGTATAATATAATAAGGTTAACCAGATAATAATTAGATAGGTATGTTCGTATCTCACCCGAATAGAAAAATTTGGTTGTTCGTCAACTTTAGATGTAGCACATACTAATTCTTTTGCACAACTGGTATCAACGGACAAATCTGGCCACCAAACACCACTATCGCTCACAAGATAATTCCTAAAATAATTGTTTTACAAAATGTTACTTAATAAATACAGGCTTCTTGGTTATAAATATTAAAATATATAATATTATATAGGTATACTATAACTTACTGCAAATTAGCAGGAGATAGGAAAAGTTTCGAATGATATGCTAAAGCTATTGGCACATTAAAAATTGATCCAGCTTCAAGAATTGCCAACGTACATGTTGATTCAAAAGGATTGTCAGACTCCTCTACAACTCCAGTATCCATTTCAAAAGTATCTATTGCTTCAGTACGGTTATAATGGATCATCAAAGGGTATGATGTGTCATTTTTCAACTGAAACATAAATCAGTCGCTATAAAATTATAAAATAAAATAATTAATATAGTTGTATACCATTAAAGGCGATCTTATTGTTATTATGTGGCTCAGCTTTTTTGACACTACAGATACCATAATCCAATACCGTGTGTCATTTTTGACTGGAGAAAGAGCATGTAATTTATTGCTTGTTCGTTTTGGACAAACCACAATTAAATCATCAAAACCTGTACATTTTTATTTGATTAGAACATATATATATAAAACAATTAATTAACTTTTACCTTCAACTTTTATATTGAGTTGATAGTCAGTAATTTTCTTGTACATCATTTCACTAGAATTGTCATCAATATTTTCATGATTATTTTTTTTTGTTAAATTATTTACAAAAGTACAATCGTTAGACATGCTAGAACATAAAAAGTATAATGTTACTTGTTAAAATTTAAAGTTCATAAATTAAAATAATCTGATAATGTTACCTTTGTAAAGTACCTATAGTACAGACTTATATTTATTAAATATACAATTATATTAATTGCAAATATGCATACAAATATTTATATACATATATATATAGGTATGCAAATATGTATTTAAAAAAATAATTTCAGTCATAGGTACTTATACATTATTTTTTACTAACCTTTGTCTGGATATTGAAGATGTTCTAGATCCATCAATTGCTTCTAATATTTGTTCTAATCCTTTCTGAAATTAAAAAACATAAATCACATATTTTTTTATTAATTATTAACTCAATAATTAAACAAACTAAAATGTGTTTTTAATTGTTTGATAAACAAGCTAATAATATTAAGGAAAAAAATCTACAATCATATTAATTGTTGTTGTATTTCAATAAGTTGATTTCATTTTATTGTATACCTACTACTTATAATAAATCATATAAATTTAACATTACACTATAAAAATATAAATACAATAAATGCGATAAAATAATACAAGTTTTAATTGAATAATTCAAATAAATATTATTACTTTTATCTAATTGCCATACTAATAAATATTAAAATAATAAAATATATTCTATGCAATCTATTTTAGGTATCTAGGATCTAGATAACAATGATAATGATTAACTATTAAGGTTGTTTTATTAATTTTAAGTATACAGAGTGCAGTAAATAATGAATCTGCATACAGGTATGCATATGCCAGTCGAGTTTAATAAACTTTAAGTCAATTATATGATTATATTTATATCAATTAAAATAATATATTAACATGTATTGATGGATATCAAACAATTTGACAATTAACTTCAAATTATGGTTAAAACTATTTTTTTAGTTATCAATAGGTTAGTTTTAAAAAAATATGACAATAACAGTTAATGTAACAATAAAAACTAAACAAAAGTCTTATAATCAAATTTTAATAATGATGAAATTTAAGAGGACATTATACCCCAAATGTGTTGTCTCAATTTTACTAACACAGAACATAGAACATTTTACTTTCAGAATAATCTAGTTTAATTTGTTATTTTTAATATTAAAGTGAATTGACTTATTATCAAATGTATAGGTAAAAATATTATCTATGACCAAGTGCAGGCTTGTTTTATCTCATAACTTGCTTTAAAATTAAAATATTAAAAAATCCTACTTGTGGCCCTAGATAATATTCTTACCTACCTTTAAATTTTATAAGATTCACTTAAATATTAAAAAAAATATAATAAAATAGATTATTCTGGATGTAATATTTAATTTTTTGAGCGTTATTAAAACGTGAACAACACAGAACGTTAAATTAAACATGCTCTGAGAATCACAAGAGTTAGGGGTAGTATCAGAAAGTGTATTCAATTGCAATTGCTTTAACTGCTTAACAAAAAGAAACTTTAATGTCATATTGTGATTTATTTAAAAATGGTTAATGAACAAAGAAGAAAAATATCTTTTTATGCAGTTGTTTGTAGGTCACAAAATGTATTTCCACAATTAATACCCCTTTAAAGGCACCTAAATGATTTACTACTAAATAACCCGTTCGTTCAACTTGGCAAAAATAGTGATCCAATAGGCAAAAACTATATTATATTGAAAAGTTTTTTTAAAAATTATATCAGTTGTCAAATTCCAAGATAAACTAGACATGTTATAGTATGATATGAATTCACAAGAACTCAAATTAGTAGCTATCAAAATGAAGCTTCCAAAGCCGGTATTATACTGGTTCGTGATCGGTTGACTGACAAATGCTTTCCTTTGATGTTTACAGACTTATAACAAAATATGTCGAACCAGTGTAATATTGACTTAAGAATGATTTTGGTTTTTGTTTCGATACATTTGCGGAACTATATCGTATATATATATACGATACATTTGCTGAACTATATTGTATATATATATACGATACATTTGCTGAACTATATCGTATATATATATATACTATTAAAGATGTGTACATAATAATATTAATAGTCAATGTTTAATAATTGAGATATTTTGTACATTAGCATATTGTAATGATACCTACCTACTGATGAAATTACCTTGGTATAATTTTATTAATTTACAAATAAATGTATACTTGAAGTATAGATTTTAATACATTTTAACTAAATGAGCCATTACATAGTAAATTTGTTTTCCTCCATTATCAGATTATCTTAAACATTCTATATTTTCAAAGTTGCAATTCACCGGTTTAACTGAGAAAATATAATAGTGTAATAGGTAATAAGATAATATTATAGAATGTTTTTTAATCATTATTATACTTATTTTTATTATTTATAAAAAAATAAAATAAAATTTAAATTATAATGAAAAAATATGAACTCTTATGTAATGTAGGTACTAATTATACAAATTGTAAATAATCAAAATTAATTATAATAGTATGGTAGATAGCTTACTATGTAAATAATAATTTAAATAATAATTGCAGGTATAACATTTAACATTTAAATCTTTTTCTTTTTAAATTATCATATAAATATAGTGAAATGTATATTATTATTTACCTCAGTTTTTTGATATAACATAACAATAGATCTCACTGCAAGATCATTAACAAGAACAAAACTTTCAGTTGAATCACAATCATCAGTTTTTGGATTACACAACGATTTTATGAGTGTATCAATAACGGATATATTAGCTGGAGTAAATGATACTTCTAGCCTCTCTGTTTCAAAAATGATATACGTTGATGTTTCTAGTCCTTCAGAATCATTTTCCAAACCAGAATCACTAGAGTAACCTTAAAAATGCCAATGTCAAAATTAACTCAGTTACTTAAGTTGTTTATAATAAATTATTTCTCTTAAAAATTACTTATTTTTTTCTTTATCCTTTCTTGACTAATATTTCTGGATTCCTGTTCAGCTCCACTTTCATCACTTGAATCTGAATTTGTTAAGTCTTCATCACTACATTCACTGTACAAAATGTATTCAAAATAAATTGCATGTTTTTTAAAATATTGTTCATACCATTTAACATACTCAGATATTAAATGTGTAATAGCTTTAGCTAATTTATCCATAATTCCTGTTTCCTGATCTGAATCTGAATCATCAGAGTACCATTTTTCAAGTGAAGTTTCTATATATTATAAAATATTTTATTTATATTTTATTAATAATTAAATATTATTTTAGGTTCTTATAAGTTATATTTATATATATACTAAATAACAATTAGTACTACAATAATTACCCCTTGACTTCACTGTTTTTCTAATGAATTTCATTTCAGCTTCACTTTCATCATCTGAACTTTCACTCTCACCTTCCACAATAGATTGGTGAGCTGATTGTACCAATACATCACCCAAATCCATGTTTTTTACATTGAACTTACCCAAGAAACCCTATGAATCAAAAAACATATTTATCATATTTACCATATTTAATACAAATTTTGTTTATTATTGCTGGTTACATACTTTCAGTTTTACATTCCAAGGCTCAATAAACGGTTCCCAAACACTCAAATTACAATTAAAGTATGAAGCTTTTAAATTTAGACCCCCTAGAATTAAAATATATAGATAATAAAATATAATTAGATACAGGCATACAGCTCACAAACTTTGACATACATACCTTTTAACTTAAACTGATCTGACCAATCTTTTACTTGAATTTTTAATGATGATTTTAACATGATCATAGGAATGTCCTCTAAATCTAGTTCTTCTAGTTCTAGAGACACGTTAATGTCTTGTACATACAGTTCAAGATTTTCTGATTTCACATCCATAGTATCCGAAAACTTTGATTGGAAAAATGAAAAAAATGTTCTTTTAGGTACCAATTTGTTAGGTACAGTACTAGGTACTATGGGTTTTGGAGTCCATAAATCATCATTTTTAAACTCCCGATAAGACGATCCATCAAAATCAGGATCTTCATCGTAATTAAATTCCATTAAGTCAATGGCCTTTAAAATAAAATCACATTTATATTAATTATTATTTTTAAACAGTTTTGAAACATTAAAAAAATATATACATACATTGAGAATAATGTGAACTGTACTAGTTGATAAATGTACATTTAGGGGACTAGAACGAATTAAAATTTCTATTGCATCATGGTCTCCTGATTTTAAAGTTCTTGAAAACTCTATGTCACATGGATGCAAAACCTAAAAAAATATAAACAACACATATTAAATATATTTATGATATTTTTACTATCATAATATACAATGTTCATACCATCTTCTCAGCTCTTCTTTTTTTTGACACTGCTAAAATATGAAAATTTGATAATGAACAAACAAGTCTCTCTTCATGGCCAGGATGACGACCATAATCTAAAAGAAACTCTGTTCGACATAAAAGTACTTGATCTCGAATGTCTAATTCTTCTACTCCGGGAGGTAATATTGCTATTTCAGGACGACCAAACCGAACAGATATAGTTAAAGCTAAATAATAATAAAATAGTTGATTAGTTGATTATTCAGCAAAACTCAAATTTATATTAGTATAATTTATTTATTTATTTTACCTGACTGCTTTTCAATATTCATTGGTTTTCTCTCCACTGATCGCTTTTCATCTGGGTATTTTCTATGATTATCTACATTAGCCATTGGAGATGCTAAGGTTCCATCAGTATTTTTTCTTTTTATTGGTAAAGAGTCCAATACAAATTGTGTTAATTCCACAACAAAAGGAATAGAGAAATTCAATCTGGTTTTATCCAAATGAATATGAATTGTTCTATCACCTGAATATGTCTTTTCAAAAGATAAATCAAATAATGGTGGAGTTGATACAGATATATGTACTTCGTTAGATGAATCTGATGGACCAACAGGTTCAAAAATCCTAAAAAAAAGGGCTTAATTTGTATTGAAAAGTTTTAAATATTATTATAACATTAAATTATTAAATATGACTAACATTTTTTCAGATGTATTATGTCTCCTGGTGTCTTCTAACATACATCTTTGTACTGTAGTACTTAAAACTACTCTATCGTCTGAAAACATATCTATCTTAATATTTATCTCGTCCAAATCAAATCTGCACAATGAATGATTTATATCTCTAATTGGAGAACTTAATATCTGAAAAGGTTTTAGTTTTAAAATAGTAAAATATTTTATGAATCTATTATTAAAATAAATATATGTATATATATTTACTTCATCTGAATTTGCAAAAAGAGCAATTTGGATACCATCTATAGAAAATTTGAAATCAATTTCATGAATTGAGGTTTCATGATTGAAAAACACTTGTATTTTTTTTAAATCTTGATCTTCCAAGATCCCAGAAACATGTGGCATCATCATATACAACATTTCTTCGATACAATGACCATACTCAAAATTGTCTGCCCAAACTAGTAAGAATGTTGCAAAATCTTTCTGCCCCAGATTAATTTGAATATTGTCAATTCCTCCATTCATCCGATATAAAAGTTTGTTTGTAGTATTTCTTTTAATGTTCAAACGAATTCCAAAAGATTCTACCATTGGTTCCTATAAAAAATATAAAATTAATTATTTTATTCTATAATAATATCTAGTATTTAATTAGCTATTGAGGTACTTGAATAACGAGTGTTCCATCTAATGTCATAATAGCTCTAGATACATTAATTGCATCCCAATTAGCTAAAATATTATCAACAATATCTAAATTGTCATAATCTTTTTTCAATTGCTCTTTAAAAAAGTTTTCCACCGTAAGATCTCCTAAGCTGCATAAAATAACATTAGGAGAGGTAGAATTCTGTGGAAATAGTACTACAGGAAAATGTAAACATATCGACAAATGCATTTTACTCTTCCATCCATTTCGAAAATCTGGAGTAAGCGGAAATAAAACATTACGAAAACGTCGACTAAAATCAACAAGTTCTTCAGAAATGATTGGATCCATGAAATACTAAATGAAAAAGAATAATTTAAATAATAAGGTTAAAATTGATACAATAGTTATTATTTTCAATTTTATATTAAATACATACTTGAAAATCTAATAAAATACTGCATAAAACTGTTATATGTACTTGTCCTATGTACAACTTAATACTCCCATCTGATTTTACATCATCTGTCTGGGCTTCAATGTTTGTTTTGTAAAGTCTGGGATTATGGCGTACATATTTGAATTCCAAAAGCTTATCTGCGTCTGTATATAGTAGCTATAAAATATTTTTATTCATATAGGTATTTAAATGTTTTTAAATATTTTTTAAAATTATATTTTACCTTGGGATACAAAGTCATTCGAGACAAATCATCAATGCTCATATTCATCACATAAAATCTAAACACCATCCGATCATTTGCTTTAAACGTGCAATCACTTTCTAAGCCACCAATCTAATTTTAAAATGTACATTAATGAATATTATATAGCTATTTAGGAACTCGGCTTAAGAAAACTTTACCTTAACGTCCAAAAATTCAAATTCAGTATCACAAATCAACATTTGAAATTTTGTAATTCTAGCAGAATAACTAAACTTTGTTGCTCCTTGTGGCACAGGTGGATCATTGTTAGAAAAACAATTGTTTACACAATTTTGAATATTTTCAATTGTTAAAGATGAAAAAATACGTCTATTACCAATTCTAAAGAAAGTATATTTTATAAATATGGTGAAAAAAAATGGTTCTTCTGAGATTGAAAAACTCACTTTTCTGTAATATATTGCATAAATTTGTAAAATTTTATGAATGAAGTTCTATGAAACACACATGATAAGTGATTTAAATCTAATACAAGAGACTTTTCTACACTGTGAAAATGACTTCTAAAATCAGGACAATCAGCTTTTACCTAAAAATAAATGTACTCAATTATACTATTACAGAATTATATACCAACAAGTCGAAACTTTCATACTTTTCTGTAAAGCAAATTAGTAGATTCTTGTACTAAAGAATTGGTTGTTATTGAAAATAATACAACGGTATGACCACTTTTGCAAATATGTTGTAAATCAGATAGATAAATTGATCCAATTGACATTTGTACAGCTGGCCCATATTCCATAATTGCCAAATCACAACAAAAACGTTTAAATGTCAAATTCAAAAAAGAATTTTCTACTATTTCATTCGAACAATAGAAATCAATAGAAATCTAAAAAAAAACATATTAATAAACAAGGATACATTTTAAATTAAAAAAAATTTACTTCTCCAATAACACATCTAAAAAGAGATGTTATAGTATTATTTGGAGACACATTATCATCAAAACCTGGTAAATCGACTGTACGAGCCCAGAGTTCAGCAAATTCCTCATCACTAATTTCTGACGACACGATACTTCTATAAAAATAATAGCAAGATTTAGTTCCTCATATGTAATAAAACAATTCTGATATCAAGTTCACTTGGTTACTACATTTTTTTCTACATCCAATTTTATTGTATTTTATACTTACATATATTTTACATGATTGTATCATATTAAATAAAATCACTTATAGGTATTAAAATAAAATAAACCAAGTTGAGAGGCCGTCGTTTGTGTTGTTTCCATTTTGCATGGTAATCATATTACCAAATTTGTAGAGGAGAACATACTCTATTAGAGTGAAGACATTTTTTTTTCATATTTTTATTTGATATTGAGTTATTAGTAAGTACATGAATCATTTCAATAATATATAATATACAATAATTTAAATTCATTTTAAACTAGTTTTAAAAAATCATAAGATGAAAAACTCTAGGTTCAAACATAAGCATACAATGGTGGGGGGAGGGGTAAGAAGGGTTACAATTTTGTTTAGTCCCCCTCATACATTTATTTTAGTAATATTTTTAGAATATATATTGTGAAACATTATAGGCTGAATCAAAAATAAATTCAGCACACTACGACTATGCTTTCATGGCAATAATGACACATACTGGAAAGAATATTTCTTCATTTTCATGTTTAAACATTGAAACATTTAAACTCCCGTAAAGTGAGGATCTTCCACAAGAATATACAAAAAAAGGGAGTCCTTTATCCAACTTAATTTTTGGAGCTAGAGGCCGTGTTCAATGGCTTAAACCTTAATACTAATAATTAATAGATTAATAGGGAGCCATTGATTTAGAGTATTTTGCCTATCAGTATACAACAGTAAAAGCATTTTGCAAATTTACATATTTAAAGACAATTATTAAATAACCGGTCAATATAATAAATTATTGAAACTAAATAACATATAACATATTAAAATGTTTACATATTTTATAATATATATTACATGTGCCTATAGTCTATACACTGGCTATACCTGTAGCCACTTGCTTATATGTACTTATAGGCCATATAAATGAGCTATATGACCTATATTATTTTGTAAAATATTAAGAAAAAAAATCTTGACTTAATCTACTGTATAGTAAAATTATGTTTTATCTAAACAATGTTTAATTAGCCTAATATTTGTATAACATACCTTTTGTCTACAGCTTTAAATGCTTTTTTTACTTCGGCTCTTTCTTCAGTTGATCTGGTACTAATGCCCTTAAATTTTTGATACAACGCCAATGTCGATTTCAATTCTTGTAATTCTTCCATATTTTGATGCAAATTTATCTTTTTAATCAGATTGATTTTAAATTAAAAAAATAACATTATTTATAGTTATATTGCAAAATTAATCAAATATTTAGATCACTAACCATATCTAATGCATACACTTCATTATCATCACTATAATGTTTTTTCAATGTTGCTGAAGAAACATGGTTAATAGGTATTGGTGTATTTTCGATGAAGTCTAAAATGGAGTAAATCTTTTGATCAGATAAGTTGAACCTAACACTTTGTACAGCTATATTAATTTTTCTTTTTGCTAATTGTTTGTATTCTGGTCTTATGCTATTCGATACAACAATTTGTGTAACAGTCTTTCCCAAAAGGTGCAATGATGAATCCATTTCATTCCTTAAATTTCTCCAATCGTTTCCTAAGAACCACAACATGCATATAAGTTAACTCATATTGATAGCTTTTAATAACCTAACAGATATTTAAAAAATAAAAAATAAGTTGCAAAATTGTATACTAGGAATTCTAAAAGGGTTGTAGCAATAACTAAAAATATTAACCTGAATTACAAAATATTAATTGAAATCCATCAATATCAATATGGTATCGATCATATAATTTTTCCTCCATTTCCATTTGTGTGACATCATCTAAACAAATGGTTTCTGGTTGTAAGTCACTTTTGATTTTGAGCCCACCAAAATCGATCACCATTATATTTTCACCCCTATCATAAGAATATATTATAATTTATAATAAGTACAATTAATTTCAAATTAAACTATTACATACCTTTGAATAGAGCCAAATTCTGGTATTACAATATATGGTAATTGAAGATCAATGTTTAAAAGAATTTTTCTAAACTTGGTTTCTGGTCTGTCTGAATTGAATAGTTTTACAAATGTTTTAGAAATTGTCTTAGAAAACTTTTCAATAGTAGATTCAATGTTTATTTTTTGATTGTAATAAAAGAAACTAAGTAGTGCAGATATGGCAAACTATATAAGAAAAAAAAACAGACAACTGTTATAAGAATAATAAGTTATCGATTTAAAACCTACTTCATGATAGACAACTTCCACAGATTCTGATGTAATATTCAATCCATAATCTGCTTCTGAATTGAGTGGATTTTTTTCAAAGTCAATACTCAAAAAATATTTTGATGAATTTCCTAGTGATATTACATGTCATATAATAATTCAATTTTAATTTTAACTACAAAATATTTACCTCTCATCGCACAAGTATCAATTATCGGAACCAGACTATACTCAACAGAAGCTTCAACATTTAAGCTTTCAACTCTCGTAGATATTTTGTATGCTTTAGCGGATGGTCTAGTTTCAAGACTGCTCATTAAATGGCCAATTGTGATTACCATTAATTCATTTGAACCACTTATTAAACTAACTAGGCAGTTAGCTATTGTTAAATTTATCTTATGTTCTAAACAAATTATTTTATTTTATTGTATACCTAACTAATAAATAATAATTGTAGTGTTCCAACATACCAATGTATTGTTTAGGCTTATCCTGTATAAGTGTATCTGATCCCCCGGTTTTACACAGTAGATCATTAAGCCGATCTTTTTCTGATTGACTAAGTAAATTCCAAAATGTCTTAGATTTATCGGATGTTAAACATAGGCGATACCTGGGCTTAGAATTTATTGGATCCCACCATTTTGACTGAGATTCTTGAATTGTTACACTTTCCGGATTCTCTTCACAAAGCTATTTAAATTACATTTAATACAACTTCTTGAAAATAAAATTTAATATCAAACCTCAATTTTAGCATGTTCTCTTGCTAAAACTAAATTAAAAATATCCAATTCATCTTCGCGCATTTGTAAATCTATTTTTAATTCAGTATCATTTGGATTTACAAGAACTTTTTTGTACACATTTATGTAACTCTTATAATTTTTCCTGAAACACACATAAATATGTTACTTATAATAAAATTATACAAGTACAATTTTGTTTTAATTATTTATTTATCCAAACAATTGTTTACCTATGCATTTTAATTTTGTTCCACAGTAATGTAACTCTCTGTCGTAAAACACATTTATAAGCGTATATCCACCAACTTTTACTATCTTTTAGTACAGTAATTGTAGGTCGAATATCTCGAAATAATCTAATATAGACACACAAACCAATTAAATTAAGTCAAGTTATAATATTTTTAGTTCTCACTTTATAGTCCACTAAAAGTTATATCATATTTTTAAATGCATACTGTAAATATATTTGATTAGCTTTATAGATTGTAAATACATTATATTTTATTCTATAATATATATAGTTATATATTCTGTTTATCATCATATTTAATTATTTCCTATTACGTTTTTACTGTTTTTTTTTTAAATTTAATACACCATTCTTGTTGTGGAATTTTAAAACTATAACCTTGAGCCCAGAATATACTCAAAATAACTGGTTGGCTGAATTAAAAATGAATTCATTTAATTAAAAAATTAACACTTATTAATTAAAAAATACAAGGGGGTTACAAGGCTTGGTATGATGAAAGGGCAAACAGGAAAGAAATGTAATTAATAAAAGGACAAACAGTAATGGTTAAAAAATATGTGAATGGATACCTGGTGTAGTTGTTAAGAAGGCAGAAACTCCAAGTTCATATATAATAAAACAAGAAAATGGGAGAATCGTTAGAAGGAATTTATATAATTTAAGACCTAGTAGAAATAAATTTGTACAAAAAAGCTGTAATATGGCATATGATTTATCTAACTATATTACAGACATAACTGGTGGAACACAAAATTCAGATAATGAGAGGAATCAGGAAGAAAGAGAGGAAGTTAATCAAAATATAGAAATAAGGGAGGAAATTAATCAAAAAGAAAATATTAAAGGCCAAATTCAATCAACAAGAAGTGGTAGATCTGTAAAACCACCCAAACGATAGCCCTTAAGGAATATGATGTCCTAATTAGTAAATAAATATTTAATTGGACCCTTTGTCAACATTGTTGTTATAAATTTATTATTTATTCATAGTTTATTATAGTTACTTAATAGTTTTATATTCATTGGCTTAACATTATTGTCATCAATTAATTATTTATTAATAATGTATTATTGTTTCTTAATAGTTATATGGTTATTTGATTTTATAAAGTGTTGTTTTATTTTCAAATCTTTAATTTGTTTATTTAATGTTAATAACAATAATGGATAAAGAGAGACATTATGTTGTATATTATTATTATTATTATTATCATCATATATTGCTGTTAATAAAGTTTAGTTGTTAACCAGCACTTGTCGTTTGCACAATATACAAATTTTATATACATGGTGTAACTGAAAGACCTGACAAATAAAAAATAAAACATTTAGACTAGTTAAACGTCTGAAAAAAAATATGAAAATTATATGAATAATTTAAGATTTACTTTGTATAAAAAATTATTAAAAAGAATATTTTGAAAAAAGTTATTACATTTCGATTTAATTGACTCAAAAAAAAAAAAAAAAATTATATTTAAAAAATGTCTTAATTTAAATAAATGTTTTACTATCAAAATTTTTCTAAATGTTAGATAAGTATTTCAATACAAAAAATTAAATTTTAGATGAGTAGTCTATGAGTTATAACTTATAAGTGTTTAAAGTATAGATGAACGGAATGGAGTGGTGCGCGGTTACTCTGGAAAATGTTGATCCACTATTCCGCTCATCAAAACTTTAAGTACCTTTAACTATTCATTTTATAGGTAAATCATAAACTATTCATCCTAAATTTGATTATTATGTATACAAGGTGATTCATTAAGCGTAAAACACTCAATATCTCAAAAAGTATTAATGTTTTTGAAAATATATTTTACATAATTTCAAGTTGTTAAGAAAACAACGTTTTCATTAAAAAATTATATTTTTAAATATTTTTTATCTTTATAATTTTTTAAGTTATTTACTTTTTTGAATGACAGCATAGAGTTTTAATTTCATATTCCAAAGCAGAATATTTTTCTATGTATTTTGATACATAAAAATTGAACTTAGGACGAGTAGTTTATAAGTTATAAGTATTTTAAGTTTAGACAAGCGGAATAGTGGATAAACATTTTGCGGGTTTAACCCCATACCACTCCACTCCACCAATCTAAACTTTTTTTTTTTTTTTAATAGAAATTTACAATCTATACCTTAGGCACAATAGGTAAATGTGATACAGAATATACATATAAGGTATCAAAACAAATTAATATTAATAATAATAACAGTTTTCTAAACTTAAAATACTTATAACTCATAAACTACTCGTCCTAAGTTCGATTTTTATGTATCAAAATACTTAGAAAAATATTCTGCTTTGGAATATGAAATTAAAACTCTATGCTGTCATTCAAAAAAGTAAAAAAATTAAAAAATTATAAGGATAAAAAATATTTAAAAATATAATTTTTTAATGAAAACGTTGTTTTTTTAACAACTTGAAACTATGTAAAAAAGTATTTTCAAAAACATTTATACTTTTTGAGATAATGAGTGTTTAACGTTTAATGAATCACCTTGTATATCCGAAATACATGAAAAATATTCTGCTATGAAATACGAAATTAAAACTAGATGCTGTCATTAAAAAAAGTTAAGAAATTAAATAATTTTGAGGATAAAAATAATAAAAACTACCTATATACATATTTTTTAAATTTTGTTTTTAACGTTTAAACACCATGTAAGATTTGTTTTCAAAAACATTTATAATTTTTGAAGTAATGAGTGAACACTCATCAATGATGAAAGAATCATCTGTATTCTGTATGTAAAAAATAATTAAATATTGATTAGAACAAAAGTTATTTAATTTGTCAGGTCATTCATATTATACCTTGTACAATATGTACATATTACAAGGTTTATAATAAAATATATGTAAATATATGTATAAATAAATAATAATAATAATATATACATTAATATTTTTGTTCTATATAACTTCTTATACTTTATATAAGTATATTTATCTGATAAATTAGACTTCCACCTGTTTCTTTAAATAATAAATAAATATTATTATTATTATATTAATGTATTTTTACTTAATGAATTATGATTAGTATTTTGTATAAGATTTTTGAAATAAATAAGTAATACCTACTGTAATACATTTGATAACTATTTTATATTATATATATATATATATATATATATATATATATATAATATATTTATATATTATTATAAATGTATTAACCTATTAATCTCTGCTAATTTCATAAACTCTGCAGTTTCCATCAGTGCTACAAATTGTTTTCTAGACATTTGTAAAGCTGCGTCCTGGAGAACAAAGTCAACAAGTAATTTAGGAACTCTGACTTCATTTGACTTGTTGACAATAATTTTGATTTTTAAAACGACTGGTTTCAATACTAATTAAACAAAAAAAAATATTGAATAAGTTAAATAGCCTATATAAATAATATACCCATCAATTCGAAATACTCACTAAATTCCAAGGGTTCTTCATTAATGTTGAAATTATTAAGACCTGATCGCATCTTATCCTGCCAATCTGATACCATAGTTTTATTAGTATACAACAAAGTTGAACACATTGTGTTACAATAAAATGAAGCAGAATCAATTTTGACGATTTCATACACCGAAGTCTGCCCATTTTGTTGTGACAAAATTGGCTTCCACTTGCTGAAATTAAAAAATAGTTAAATCATAAAAGTTCATAATATGTTTTCATTAAATAAAATAATATACGACCTGTTGGTTGTTTCCAGTGAAATTGTTTGTATACATAGACCTAAAGCTCTCGGGGAATCTGTATTAGTCATTGAATCTTCAAATCGAATATGAACACCTCTAATATATATTTGCAAATTATTCATAACGGTTGTTATAAGAGTTTCGAGAAACCCGCCATTTTCCATAGAACCTAATTATATGTATGAATAAAATTAATTTTTCGTAACTATAAAATATTATGTACCTACCTATAGGTAAATGCTATATAAGTCTAAAGACCTATTACTATTAGGAACTAATTAATATATGCACACTAACCATTTCCGAATATTGATAAATTGTCGATACTTTCTAAAATTCTTTTCTTCGCAGCTCTCGCCAAACGTTTTTCCAATTCTGTATCCCATTCTCTATCGATAACTTGCCCCGCGACTATGAATATTTCCTAAAATTTAATAATTTAAAATTTAGTTTATTGATAATAATTCGAAGTGAAATTGTAATTATATTTTAATACTTCGATTTTTATGACTACTGGTTGGCTTGAAAGTCCATTCCACGGTATGTTCACATTGAATTTTCCTATTGATCCAGCTTTCACTTCTATAGGCAGTCCAAGTTCGTACTAAAATCGAAAATATCATAATATTTTTTATTTGAACATCAACAAATGCAAATGCCTTACCAAAGCTTCGGTTTTTAACTTCAAATTTGACAGAAAGACATTCCCTCCGAATATGCCAACATTTAAGTTTTCTAAGTCCAAATCTTCGATATACTTGCCCAAGTATCTGTTCAGTAACGATGCAACAATACCCTCAAACATGATGGTTTAAGGATATTTGCATAAAGGCGATGTTATTTTACTCTTTCGCGTACATATTATACTCAAAAATGATTGTAAGTGAAAGAGTTCCGTATGGAACTTAGGACTACCGACTAAGGCATGTGGTGAACCCTAGCGAGGAGCTTTGAAAGTTCGGACATTATTGATCCGTTTAACACGTGGGAACGGGCGCGTTGACGTCATTCGGAAATAATAATATATAGCTAATACGGAGAATTCAAAAATACATAAAATAATAAATCTGCTAAAAATACTTCAAATTCGTACAAACTTTATTATAAATACAATTCTAGTTAATATTTATGTATTTAATAAATAGGTACCTAGGTACCTACCTTAATAAATTACAAAAACTTGTATGCAGGTTTATTCAACAAGTTACAATTATTGAAATATTTAGAAAATAAGATTGAATTAAATACGATTATATTTATTAAATAATATTCACCATTACTCATTTGGTAAAAATATTTATTTTAGACCAAACTTTTTTGTTTTACAGATTGAAAATGTAAAAAAAATAATGATTACCTACATTTTAATTGAGTCTTATGGTAAATACCTACTATAATTAGAATAAAAATATATTTTGTAAAATAAGAGGAACAAATTATATTTAATTTAACAAAAATATTATGTACCATTTGGCATATAATAACATTCCAATTGTTTCTGAATAAGTCTGATAAAAGAAGTTATAAGTTGTGTTTATTAGTTTTTTTATGTTGAAATAAAATAGACAATAAATAAACCAATCGGAACTCGGAAGTTATGGGTAGGTAGGTACCTCGTACCTATATAGGTCTATATTTGTTTTGTATCCATACATTTTTTGAAACATAAATAAAAAGGCAGTGATATTATTTACGAGTATTGAGGACCACTTAAAAACTTCCTACGACCTTGTTGCATATTGTTCGAGGAACATCAATATTAATTCATATTAAAATAATATGGCTATGTCATCAACAATTACGGGTTAAAATACCAACATTATTACTAAATACTAGGGAATATGATTTAAGTTTCCCTACAATATATGTATAGTTATTAATTGTTAATTGTTTTAGTCTGTGTTGTATTTCAAAATAAGTATGTGTTTTCTAGGTAGTTTCCTGTAGTTAAGGTTAACAACGAATAAACAATTACCTATTCAAACAATTGTTCCGGGCCTTGACAAAGGTTTAATAACTATAATAATTTACCATACATAATGTACCTATGGTCTGTGTTGTATTTTTTACATAAAACGGAAAAAATTGTATATAAAAGCAAGAGAACAACAAATCTGTACTTAGTGTTAATTTTAGAGGTTCTAACTTCTAGACTCTATTTAGTTGTCACTATTGTCAATACGACTTTATGAGATATTAATTCAACGGTTAAAATGCAAAAGGTGGTTTTTATATGTATTTTTGCGATCATCTGCCAAACAGTATTTGTAAGCGTGTTACACTTTTTTATTCGTAAATAAAACAAAATATAAAATAAAACTGAAAATTAATGCTTAACAAAATACTTACTACCAACAAATATCTCATAAGTTACATGATTTTATATAGACTGCTGGGTACGATAGAACATGGATTTTACGCCAAAAACGAATGACAAATGATGACGAATGCCGAACTCTCCTCCCAAGCCCGGAAAAGGTATGTTATATAAACTTATAAATATTGAAAAAGAGTAAAACCTTCCTTTTTTCATTTTTGTAAAATGTATGATCTAAACACCAGATAGATACTGATCTGTGAACTTTTTAATTTAATTTAATTTTGAGTAATTTTGTTCATAAAAATTGTGTAAAAGTGGAGCTGTAATATTGTAGTAAAACGAATAAACTCTAGGACGCAAACACCCACACCCACTCATTTTATTGCAAAATGGTCAATTTTAAAACCTAACCTTTAATGTATCCACCGTGATATTTTTTTAACAATATATTAGCATAATTAAATAAAACTACCTATATAATTATTATATTCCATCTCACCACCCATAATATGCAGATCGTAGGTTCACAGGTGCAATTAATGTAGACCCCCCTCCCAGTTTTTTAATCATATTTTAGTTTAAAATATGAATGATCAGGGTTTGTGTTGCTGATACAGTTCTAATCCTCCCCACTCAGAAAAATGTCCCCAGTTGCGCCATTGTGTCCTACATAATATGTAGAGCCATATTATAATGTGGGAATGAAAATAATACGCATGACTGCAGGAGGTATCTAATATCTATATTAATTAACTTTTACAGGATAATAATTTAAAAATCTCAGATAGTTAGGTCAAACGCGAGGTAGGTATCCGAGCAAAAAAATGATTACTAGTAGTATACAATTATTTAATACAATAATTATAATTATTAAAAAATATAAAAATTTGTCATTAGTTGTAAACAAAATCTTTAAACCTACGTCATTTTGTATTTTTTGGTAGGTAACCTACCTATACGTGATTTGATATATTAATTATATTGTGATTAAAACATTCTCTTATTTCTAAATCAAATACAATTATTACACGAGCAGGCCACTTGTTCAAAGGCAAAAATTAATGTATCATATACCCAGGGCCGCATTTAAGATTTAGCCGCCCCGTGCAATCAAATTCTGCCGCCCCCTCTCGTTTCAGTTTACATAAATACTAATAATTTTCGTTAAACAAATAACAAATTACGTTTACAAAAAGCTTACAGTTATAGATAAATAAATTAGGAATTAAGAATTGAAAAACTGAAAAAATAAAACCTATAATATATTTTTATTTTATTTTTTTAATCAGTATTTGTAGTATATAGTAATTAGTAAAGTTAGGTCACTAAATAATTTAATAAATACGTTTAATTAATGGTCAAGTTCTGTGGACAATTTTTTATTAACATTTTTTTCTGCATTTTAATGTTGCAAATTCTTCGATTACACTATTGTAATCAATTTTCGATGTTAAATCCGCTTTTATGGTCATCATTGCCAAACTGTTGAGTCTATTTTCTTTAGAACATGATCTTAAATACGATTTTACTCTCTTCAGAGCTGAGAATGACCTTTCCGTTGAACAGTTGCTAATAGGTGTACAATGTACATAGCAACATTCTCAAGGAAATATCAATATAAGGATAAATATTTACAACATTTTTTTGCCTTATAAATGCACACATATCTTGTATGGTATTTGGAGCATCACTGCCATTACTTTTTAAATGGCCTTTAAAATGTAGGCATTCATTTATAAAAGATGGTTCCAAATCATTGAGATATTCTTTTTGTAGTCTAGGAGCGTACATATAAACATCAGCAACTGACAAAATAGTCAGTTTAAAAAATATAGTTTTCGAGAAGGTGGTCATACGATTCTTTCCTTTTTTCTAGTTCATTAATTAATTTATCCAACATTACAAAGTAGGTATCACTTTTGAATATTTCTATCGAAATTACGTCCATATTTTCAGACAGTCCTTCATCAAAAAATTTTTTTCTCTTTTTTTGACGTTTTAAATTGTTTTTAAAGTCTTTAATACCTGTTTTTTCAATTGCTAAAGATTTAAAATGTTCGTAAGCATCATCAGAGCGAAAATCTGTCACATAAACTATTAATGAATATTATACAACTCAACTACAATACCCAAATCAATATTCACAGATTGTAATTTTTTACTGACTACATTAAATCTTTGTAAAATATGCCCCCAAAAGATTGATAAGAAAACTGTTTCTAGAGAACACAGTCCACGACCGCCCCCTTAAATCTGCCGCCCGGTGCAATCGCACCCATTGCACCCCCCTAAATGCGGCCCTGCATATACCTAGTGTAGTAATATATACTTTTGGATGAAAAAAATTACGTTCCGCATATTTCCCGTGTATAAAATACCAAACATTTTTTATAAATACCCGCTCTTTGTTTGAACGCTTGTAAATTGCACCCACATTAAACAGGTAATAAAAATACTATAGCAAATTTCACCCGTGATTTTTTGGTCTCTAAAATAGGTATAGTGAATTGAGCCCATAGTATCCAAGTGACTTTGAATTCATCGTTACCTATTATGTGTATTTTAAAAATTCTGTTGTTCATTTATTGATGGATAAGCCGAACGTTTATCGCTATAATCGTTATGATATTAGCGATATCAATGCCTTTGAGCATATATACAACGACTTTAAGTACATATAGGTAATATTGTAGTAATCCGTTAGCGTGCAACAGTGAAACATGGATATTATATTATATACCTTATACTGGATTTAGCCAGAAAGAAAATGATGTTATAATCTACCAAACTTATAAATTTTCATAATTAAAACGTGAGTTGTCTTCAGGTGGAACAAAGCTGAGCATTATCTAAGACCGTGATACAAAGTGTATTGAGTCGCTAAATGACTATCATAAAAATAATATTTCTGTTGGACGCAATTTACTACACAGAAATTTGTACCTGAAAAATACCGGGCGCAATTTACTACACATAAATTAATACCTTAAAAATAACAATTTACGTTTGCCCCTTTGTTTTTCTTTCGAATAAACAATAAACAGCGGTTACAAAATACTCTTATAATTTATAATATGAACGTAATTTAAAAAAAAATCAGGAATTACAGATATTATGGGGTATATTTCAAATATTTGCAATACCCCAAATTGAAATAACTTCTCTCTAGTAGTCTAGTAAGATAATTTAAACTTTAAAGTATCCTACAGAGCGATTAAATCATATTTTACAAATTAAAAGGTAATTAATAAATAATAAAATATTTTTTTTTATAAAATTCGTATAGTTTTTTTTTCTACCGTTTACCACTAGGCACGTCATGTAACATCGATAAATTCCGATAACCGATGATAAGTATTAAGTGGCAATATAATAATATTATGGCAGGTTACTACCCTGTCTACACTAATGTGTAGTTCTGAAATAGGAACTATAATAATATTATATTAATAAGTATAGTAATATAGCTTGTAGTAATAAGTACCTACCTGCATGTTTATTGTATCAAATACAAATTAAGATTTATTTTATGAAAACGACCAAAACGATAATTATTTTTATGAAATTATGGAGACGTGTGAATATACGAATATTCCATAGCGATATATAGCCTATATAACCCTTAATCCTAGGGGCTAGGACCTATCTACTTTAATAATTGGTTCACATAAAAATACACCTACTATCTATATTCTATACCTATAACCTATAGGTAATACATTTATATTATATATTTGATATATTCGTATATATAGCTGTAGCGGGCAATAAACATCATTAAACGAGTATTCGTGTGTAGAAAGTTAGATTAAATTGGACAGCATGATACTACAAGCATGTAGCGTACACAGGATTTTAGTTCGGTTAGGGGTTCACCTGAGTAAATAATTTATATTATTTTTTTCTAAACAGATTTTATATAACAAATTATAGTTAGTCTCATATTTAGTCTACAGCTTTAACAGTATATAACCTGGTCGTCTATAGGTAGCTAGCGCCTCTTCGGCCGTAATAAACGTAGTAATAATCGATGGACGATACACCATCGATTATGGCAGACGTATAGCAATGTTCCAAAGCAGCCAAAAAAAAACCGTAACCATGATTATCGACGTCGTTGTCATATTCAACAATTTATTTTATATCTATTAAAAATGACCAACAAATGATCTGTGTGTAACAAAATGGTGGTAAATAAGATTTTTTGAAGAAAAAAGAAATTTTTTTTGGGGGGGGGACCCCACCCCTACGTACGCCGCTGAGTACAGGCTACATTAGTTACGTAAAATATTTCACTAATCTATATAGGTGGTATATAGGTACCTACTTATACTATTTTGATGATGTTTCAAAAAAATTAAAAAATTAAATATTATAATAGGTAGTTAATATCAAAGTAGGTACTTATTGAAATTATATTTTGAATAAATGGTAAAAAAATGGTGAAAATACCTATAACTACCCAACTCATATAAAAGTTGTAACTTATAATATTATCTATTATAGGTATATAATATAATAATATATAGCTATTTAAAAATATGTATTTTTATTTATATTATCTATATCTAAACAGAAATTACCTTCATGTTGTGAAATGCCAAATATATTACCCAATTCGAACAGTACTTGGGAAAAATGTTTTGAGACATTCAAACAATTCAAGGATAAACCTGAAACAAAAGAATATAAGGAAATGGCACATGGAAAAGGTAACTAGAATTTGGGATTTGGTATTAACTTCACTCATGGCTCAAGTAGTGCAATACGGCAATGTAGTGATAAACTATTCTTTTAAGTTGAATTGTAATTATGTTTAACACTATAAATTATTATATATACAACCAGAATTATGGTAACTAATGTCTAAATCCTAATATTGTACCTAGTACAACTGTATAAATGTATGTTTATATCATAAGCATTTTTATACCAGATCAATTCTATAATGTAATAAATAGGATACTTGTCATGCTTTTGGTGTTCACATTCATTATTAAGTTGGTGAAAAAGTAAGCTATTCGCTCATGGCAATCTGTACTGAATATCATATGTGTTATATTAAATATTTATCACGCGTATATGTCTTCTTCTAATATATCTAACAAATAATAATAAAAATAATCATGTTAATTTATATATTTTAGAGCCACCATGTCTTTTTCAATGTATTTTCATGCAATCTGGATTAACTGTGAGTATAAATAAATACAATATATTGTACTACAATTATTGAAAAAATTTAATTTCAGACTAGTGATGGAAAACTCAATGAAGATGCTGTCACAAAAAAAATGAGCGAAGGAATGAACAATGATGAAAAATGGAAGTCTACATGGCAGAAATCTCTCAATAAATGCTTTGATGATGGTGAATTTATATTAATGGTAATTGGTTGGGTATAATTATTAATCCAAATGTAAATGTTTTGATTTTAGTCAAACAAGAAGATAAAAAACAAATTGTAATCATGAGTACTCCAGCAGGAAGATTGATGAAATGTTTCTTAAGGGATATGTACATGGTAAAATGATTATGCTTTAATATAAGTACTCATTTTAGAATGATGAAATAATGTTATTTTTAAAACTATAGTACAATAGTGCGATATTTTTTAATTTTAAAATGTTATCTATTATAACAACTAAGTAAATTTAAATTTTCAGTTTAAAAATTGTATGTAATATTGAACAAACGTCTATAACATATGCTGTTAAAATTGTTATTATTACTACAGCTTAACAGTTTGTATAAAAATCAAAATTTTAACTCAATATTAGTTAGTGTGCTATAACCACATAAATGGGTTAAAACTTCAAAAATATTTGAACATTAAAATACATTAATGTTTCTTATTTTATAAGATATATCATTGTAAATTACCAATGAAGCTTCACTAGTATATTTAACAGAAAAAGCATTAACAATTAATTAAGATTACATACAATTCTTAAAATATGTCCCAGATAAAATTATTGAATAAGTTACAGCAATAATTTCAGAGGTATATTAAATCTAAAAAAAAATTAAATATTCAATTAGAAAAAATGATATAATATAAATAGATTATAAATTGAATTATAAACTGATCTACCTTCTACTATTTGTGAAAAGTGAACACCATAGATAATAGATACAATATAAAATGTATGCATTTACTTATTAATTTGATTATTATTTCAGAGCTGCCCCAAAAATGTATGGGTTGAGAGTAAGTAGACTGTTAAGGAAATTGTTTGCATTAATTTAACTATTTTATTATTTTAACAGGCTCAGAATGCTTGAACCTAAAGGATTTGGTGCAAAAATGTCCAGAAATGCCCCCGCCAGTTTTCAAATCACCACCTAAATTAATTTAACTTGGAAAATTACTCATCTATAGTAGTTAAGACATTTTTAGAGATTAAAAAAAATACTATATGTTGAATGTAATGGATAAACAATTTCAACATTGAAAAATGAATTATAAACACTTTAGAAATTAAAAAACGGTTTTTTATTTTATTATTTTTAATTCTGTTGAATAACTTGAACTAATGTGACAGAAATTGAAACAAATCTTTATTTAGAATGACGTATCGAACATCTATGATAGGTATATGAAACAAATATTAGACACATAAGAGGTGCATACTTTTTTGATAGACAAGATATTACTTTCAAAAATAAATACAAAAACTATATTTAAGAATTTATTGAATTGTTCAGACTCATAATAACATCCCGTATCCAAATGTTCTTTTAATTGGTGTGAAGTAGTATCGTTCCCAATTTTGACGAGTAATAGCTTCATCACTGAAATATTAAATGTTTAATATAAGAATAAATGGTTTTTACAAAAATAAATAATTAAAATATATATAACCTTTTGGGCACTCCTACAAGAGCAACTCTAACTTTAGTGTGGTCTTCTTGTTGATTAATAGTAACAGTAACAGTAGAGTATAGCCAATCAGGCCACTGTTTAGTTCTCCAATTTTGAACAATTTTTTTGCCAGGGCACTAGAGTAAATAAATGAAGATAATATTATGCATTAATATAAACTTTGGTAAAAATTAAATTTACTTACAAGTTCTATGAATTCACCAGTAATATTTCCATCAAACAATTGAAATTTCCCACCTTTAATTGCTTGAAATGTAACAGATTGTTGAGTAAAAGCTGATACGAGCTAAAAATTAAAATTAAATAATTTACAATTTGTCCAACTATTTGTTATATTTATAACACTGTATACCTCTGGTGTAGTGAGCGCATTGTAAAAATCTTCACCAGAACACTGGAATACTACATCCATTACAACAGTAGTAGTATCTATTTTAGATTTTGATTTATCATCTTTTGCACCCTATAATAGTAACAGTTATTTATTAACATAATTAGTTATATCAATTTGTATAACTTTGACAGGCCTTACATTTTCTGAATTGTGAACATTTTTCAATGAATCTTTTGACAATAATTTTGGTTTAGAAGAATTGTCAACATCTCTTTTGGGCAAAATCATGCCTTTTGAAAATTCTAAAATATGATAATTTGTGATTACTCATTACTAATTTAAGGGATATATTACTCATTTATAAATAATTAAAAAAATTAAACAATATCATATTATATTGTATCCTAGTTTTTTTTTTTTAAAGAAAACAATAATTTTAAGTAACATGTTAAATTCATAATTATAATAGGTATATTAAACTTTAAATGTAAAATAATGCAAAACAATAAACATATAGTGTATAAACAATTGGTGTAATATACAGTATAATTTAATAATATTTAAATATGTATGCAGGACTATCACCAAAAAAAAAATGTACTATACTATTACCAGTGGCCTATATAGAAATATTTTTTGGGGAGGGCTATAGTAGATAGAAACTAGCAAGTGACCTATAACTTATAGGCTACTGTCTAGTATACTCTGGCCCACAAAAGTCCATACTTAAGCCGAGCATCGATATAGTAATACGCGACGCCTGTTTTCTCCCACCATGATGCCATTCCCGCTATTCGGCAACATGCTGATGTGCAGCGACAGACGCGTTTGGACATATGAACTCTCGTGGGCCGGAGTATATATATTTAACAGTTTCTATAAATATATTCGTATTTGTTATTTTTCAACAGGCTATGAAATATTATAACTTATAATATTACCTTATAAAATATATTGTTGTTCTATTTAAAAAGACTGTAATTTTGGGGTGGGGGGCTGCAACCCACTATGCCCCCCGCCTGTATACGCCACTGACTATTACACTAATAAATATATAAAACAGGAAAATTATAGTCTCAAGCATTTAGGATAGCTAAGATTTGAAGGTTAGAAGAAAATATATTTAGTTGTATAATTAGATCTCATATGGAGTTTAACGATTAGTAATTTAAATAATTGTACCATTAAGTAGGCAACCAAAAATCTTTTATAACAAAAAATGTTATCCATCAACTACCATAAAATAAGTCTATAAAAAATAAATATATTTGATTTATATATCATTTTTTTTTTATCGGTAACTATTAAAACAAGTTATTGAGATAGACAAGGATTAAATTGTCTATACTTGTTTTAGAATATAAAGTACAAAATAGTAAAAACCATCATAAAATTAGTACATTCAATTATCGGACTGTTTTTGAGAAAAATAGTGTGGTTCATATTATATAAAAACATGAAAATTGACTGGGATTTGAGTATTCTGTTAAAATAACCATCCAATTATTATATATGATACATATATTACCTACCGAGTTAGAGAAAAATTATTTGAGGACTACTCTGAATATAAAAGCATATTACAAAAAAAACTGAAAATCAAAATGTATAGAACGGGATACACTTTTCAATAATGTAAAGCCCAAATTAATACTCCAAAATTATAAGTTTAATATAATAAAATTGTAGGACACCCACATCTCAAACTTTTTTTAAACCTTCATTCGTATAATACAAAAATAAATTAGTGAGTAACATAATATATAAGGTTTTGGAAATATTTATTATTTAGTTAAATATTTGTACCTTCTTTTAGATCCTTTATATATTTTTCTAGCTGATCTCTGATTTTACTACGCCCTTGGTGGTAAAGAAAATCTTTAACTATAGTTGCTTCATTAGAAGGTTCTTTCAATGAAATATTTATCTGTTAACAAAGTAATTATTTGTAATAAAGCTGATACAATAACACACTATTAAAATTACCAATAAGGCAATAATAAATACAAAAACTGCAACCAAATTAGCATTATTACCTCAATTTCAGCTACACTATTTTCTTCACTTAAATTTGGTATGTTTATTGTGCCCTCTATCTCTTTGGCCGTACCACTTAATTGCCCTTTCCAACTTAATGTCAAATCCCACTCATAAAAGAATATGAGTTTGCCCTTTCTATTATTTGCAACAGCTTCTCCATCACAACTTTCAATCTTTGAAATCTCACATTTAGCTACATCATTTTCTAATATCATACCAACTAATAAGGCATTAAGTTTGCTTTTGACCATGGCATGCATTTTTTCTGTCCTAAAAAAACAAATAAAAATAAATAAATCTACATTTGTGATAATTGCTTAGTGTATTAAACTTTAAAGTTAAAGTAATACCTACATATAACATCAAAACAATAATGTCAATTGAAAAAAAAATCATTAAAATAAGAGATAATATTTAAAATTTTAGGACCTTTTCCGTTATTCACTACCACTAATTTTAGTAGCAGTGCATACCGCTTGTATCGGCAATCGTCGCTCGCTCCTCGGCGCCGTCGCTCCGCTCCGCAATCAAAAATATCCCCCCACTTGTTATGCAACTTACCTCAAGTTGGTCATTAGGGGTAATCATCGTATATCCACTCTAATACCTATTCTATACGTGTATACGTATACACTATTAAATTGAATAGTCGTCGTTAAATGAAGGTAGTTATTAAGGGTGGATTACGGTGGTTAAAATGTGACCAACTTGTGGTGGTGTTGCATAGCAAGTCGGGGGATATTTTCGATTTGCGGAGCGGAGCGACGGCGCCGAGGAGCGCAGCGACGAGTGCCGATACACGCGTTATCACTGCAACTTTGAACTTCCATAACTTTACTAATACCATTGAGAGTTCTTGGAGTAAAATAAAATCTTGAAATAAAAAACAGTGTGGTAGCTACTTTGAAAAACCGAAAAAAATGGTGGTAGTGAATAAACGGACCAATGCTGAATAGCTACTAAAATTAGTGGTAGTGAATTAACGGAAAAGGTCCAAATTTTAATTTACATAACCTATTTTTGGGCAAAATAGAGACTTGACATTTTTGAATATTTTCTAATGTGCCTACAGAAAAACTAATAAAAACAAAAATTACCAATCTAAAATTTAATATAAACTGTTAAACAAATTATAATTTATAATTATAATTTTACCAAGTCACTGAATTTATATATATTTTTAAATCTTACTCATTTGTTTCATGACTTCAAGTATTAACCTAACTTAATTTAAAAATTAACTATCTTATTAGGTACATTTTCAAGTTTTTTAAATTTACCGATACAAAGGTGGCAAGGTATGTATTAAGAATTATAACATAGATTGAACTTTATATCATTATTGAGTCGTTAAAAACAAATATAAAGCTAAGAATTAGATATTTATACAGAATGCATGAAAATAATTTAACAAATTACCAATGCCAGTTGTTAACGTTAGTGGCGTCTGGGCGTTCCTCAACAATCCATCGCGGATCTCCTTCACCCCATTTAGCCATCTAAAAAATTATAAAAATACTATAATATATTAATGATGTAGGTACTAAAAGAATATTAGGTAGAATATTAAGTTTAATGAAATTGTTAACTTAGATATCATATCTACATCACATTAGACAATTTATAAATTAATAAAATTATGCTAAAATTCTTACTATGAATTGATAAATTAATTAAAAATACTGAAAATTCTCAATCAACCGGAATATTAATTAATATAATATTTGAAGAAATTTTGTTAGAAGTTCCGCACTACCGCTAACAGAAAATTGGAAACGATGGAGAAACCCGTGGTACAGCCTGCTGCGGTAGAACAGCGCTTATATTTTGATATTTCAATGAAAGAATTAAATCAAGTTAAAACATGGAAAATTCTAGAATCTTTTAACAGTGTGACCAAGTTGATAAGAAACTAAAATACAAGAACTGACTATCATAGATGCTATTATCACAGAATTTAGTCTGTTCTGTGCTATTATCACGAATTAATGAGTATATATATGTTTTTATTTCTTGGATATCACATAATTCACGAGAAGTTTGCGATCTGAAGAATTCAATGTATAAACACGAGGGATAATCGATAAACACGTATTGTCCGACAAATGACGAGTCATTATATGCTACATATACGGCCTATATGCCTAAACTCTAAAGCAGTTAAGCTGTTAAGCTAGAGACTAGAGACCCTTGGTAAATTCCTTTCTACCTGTAGCCATAGGCGCAAATAGGTGGGTGGCTGGATTTCTTATCCTCCCAGAATTTCTAAAGCCCCCCAAAAACTAATGATTCATCTACTTAAATTTAAAATTATCGTAAGAGTATCAAGACCTGAGCTACAGCCCCCCAAATTTAAAACACTATTTACGCCTGTAGCCTATTGCGTTATGGCATATAGCATATTATGCATATTTTAAACATATATAAGAAGAGATACAGCGAAGATTCCACATTCTACCTTTACCGAAAAAAACGTTACCGGAATCACATTCATTTTTTATGAGCGTTTGAAGTTCAAATATTGACGACAATGGATATTTACCCGTAAATTAACGATTCCCTACTCATCGAACGATTTTCTTATTTTGTTGTAATTCAAAAACGAATAACCGTAGATAGGTACTTGACATTTTCACCAAATGTTTATTTATAATTTTTTTTATACATGTCAGTCTATATTTTAAACTCGATTTTGAGATATTTATATCTAGACATTTTCAATTCGTTTTAGTTTTTTTTTTCTATAAGTTTCAGTAGACAACCAATAAAAACTTGTATAGGTTGCTCTAAAGGCATATAATACTGCAAGGCTGGGCAAGTTAACGATTTTTTTTAACTCGTTAAGTTAAGTTAATATAAGAAAAAGTAAGTTGAGTTAAGTTAAAAGTTAACTAATGTTTTTTTTATACCTTCGTTAAGTTAAAAATTAATGAAAAAAAAAAATTAACTAAGCTAAAATTAACTTAATTAAAATTTTAATTATTTTTGAATCTGTAAGAAAAATAGGTTACCTACAAAATTATTAACAAATTTGGAATTTATATCAAGCTCAGATTTCTGTGCCCATGTGGCCAACCATGTAGTATGCTTGACAATATTTACTAAGGATTTAGGGTGGGCAGTTGATGATTCATTATATTTGAATAAATAAAATAATATTTTTATTTATATTGATTGTTGTTTTTTAAAGAATAATTATTTAAGGTCAATTTTCTTTAATTTGTTAATAAAACCTTAGTAAATACTAAATACTATTCTAAATTATAATTAGATTCTAATAGGTACTTGATGGACAAAAAAAAAATAGAGAGTTATTTTAATAATTTCAAGTAGGTAATAAAGTATTTCTCGGGATCAGCCTGGATGTGTGGCGTATGCGTTAAAATGTCACTGCAGGGTAATGAGTTATGGCTTACAAGATAACTAATCAAGTAGGTACAAGAACTTCGAGACCCTTATACAATTATATAAGTACCTACATATAAATATAAATTTATATTAATATAATTTAAATATAATATAATAATATAATTTTATGACAATGATAAACATAATATATGGTTAGGTATATATTTTATATCCAATATTGCTCGTTTATGTATAATAATAATTAATAATTCATAATAATATGTATAATGTATATAATATTATAGTATATACTGTATGTATATTGTATATACATAAATAGACAATAATCACAAATTTATAACTATTAATTATTATTACATGCGGGTGGGCATTACTAGTATTACCCTGGATACAGGCTATCTACAAAATTGAAAATACATATATTAGGAAATACTATGTCTATTGTGTATACATCAAACTCAATCGGTAATAATTATTATATACGTCATTTTCCCATTTATTTTATATGATATCTAATAATATTCTCAAGCCAACAAAATTATAAGTTAATGGTCAAATTTAAAATGTAACTTAATTTTAAGAAATCTGTATAAAATTAACTTGAAGATACACGTATTAACACGTTAAATATGTTAAAAATTTAACTTATTAAGTTGAAATTAAGTTTCCAAAAAAAAGTAACGAGTTACTTAACTTAACGTTTTAACTTAATTTTAATTTTTAACTCGTTAATGCCCAGCCTTGTATAAAAGTTCTAGGTGGACTGGCCCAGTGGTCGAATGTCCTATATAGATGACAACGGACCGCAGTCTCTGGGTAGATTTTGGGCTGGTTCCTTATTGTAAGTGGTGTGGTTAGGTATATCGTATAGGACATAAATATAGAAATGCGACACAAACATAATATGATTAGGTATATATTTATTTAGCTGTCCCGCTCGACGTTGTCCAGGCCAATGGCCTAATAAATGTTGTTGTACAGAATGTATATACCATATTATTTCTTCTAATTATAATATTAATATTTATAGTATATTATGTAACCAGTTTAAATCATTTAGATAAACCAAAAAAATTTCTTTTTTCGTAAGTTGAAAAAAAATTATGCGTGAGCGCGGTACCCTTCAGCTAGGTATCTATAGATTATAGAAGTTGAAAAATCAATCTATAAAAACCCTCCAAGTCTCAAGTAATCTATATGTTTGATATCACTTTTATCGAAAACCGTCCAGTCATGTCTTGAGGCTATATTATATAACTTCGAATGAGTCAACATCCAATTTTAGTTGTATAACCCGACACTTCGCCCGTTAAATTAATTTCAATCGCTCCCAGAAAATATTTTTAAAAGGTGAAGACACCCATTAAAAAAAATAATCTTACAATCATAGGCGCAATTTGGGTGGAGGGGGGGTGCTAATCTCCCCCTCTCCCAAAAAAACCTAGGACATACAATTTTAATTTTCTATATTGCAATGGTCTGCTTGCCTTTAATATATTCAGCCCCCCAAGCCAAAAGTTGAAATTGCGCCTATGCTTATAAGTTATAATACAAATCACTGGTATGCATAATACATTTTTTTGTCACATAATAAGACATATTAAACTATGTTTTATCATTTATGTGACTACAAATTGACTATGCATACGGGTATAATATTATAAATTTATAAAATAATCTGAATTTATAGTTAAATAAATAAGTGTTTTTAGATGGATGGATGGCTATTAATTAACATATTAGGTATTGTTCAACTTATAATATTAATTAGGTACTTTTTAAGAAATATAATACATTTTTATCAATTTATAGATTCAGTAATCGGTATATTTCTTTTCAAACCTAATAAGCGAAAATTGTTACATGTTTCTATTGATAATTTCAAGATGATCACCACTTCTCACACAAGCAGAGGTCAAACTGTCAAAGTTACACCAGTGACCAATTAATATTTTTGGAGTGCTACATTTGAAATGATGAAAGTTTTTACTCTTTTCAGACCATATGCGATAAAAGAGTGAATATAGTTTGACAGAGAAAGATAAACACAAATCACAATTAATAAAAGTGTGTAGGTATATCAATGTAAAATCCAAGATAAAATATAATTTGTCTGGTATTAGTGTATTAATATTGTATTGTATTTAAACACAATCCTAATATTTTCTATGTAGTACAAGGTACAAATCGTACAGCCGTTCGTACATCACCATTAGATTGTTTTTCAGTGTGATTTTAGTAAAATTATTGTGATTTTAATTTTAAAAATGCCGGAAGTCAATAACGAAAGAGTCAAATTACGAACATTTGTTGAAGAATTATAGAAAAAAAATATATGATCGTAGTATGTAGCACACGTATTTCGACTATTGAATGTGAATTACGAGTTTTATTACTAATTAATAATCAATAAAATGTATTGATTATTATTTTAGTATGCATTAATATGCATGCGAAAAATAAATAAAAATAATTTTTAATCTCAATTACAATATTATATTAAGACAATCTAGCCAATCACTGATGTATTTCAATAAATAAATAATTTATTTTGTAACTATATTTTGTGTCTCAAAATTAAAATGCCTATTTTTGCATATTTTGGTACAACAAAATACATATTTTACAATTTTTTATTGCATACAAATCCTGTACCTGCTTATAACTGACCTATCTGAAATTTGGCAATGTAGGGGCGAAGAACTATCGCCTATCATGATATATATATCCTATAGGTCATAGGGACTTGACAGTTTGACAGACGAGAGTAGGTACCTACCTTCATTCAGGTATGTACTTTGAATTAATCTAGGAACAAAAAACACTAAAGCTTTACCAAACTGTTAGATACAGCTGTCAAAAAAATAATTAATAATATTAAAAAAATATAAATTTGAATGATAATTTTACTATAATATTGATAAATAGGTACATATTAATATATTATTCTATATGATTTTACTATATAAAAATGTATTTATTTATTTATTCATAAACTGGTACCCTTTAGTAATAAGTAATAACAGTACGGTAAGTAGAATCTCAATTTGGCAAATATGACTGTGAAATTAAATAATATAGTGTTTTAAATGAGTTAATATTTTTAAAATTAATCGTATTTCTGTTAATG